GGAGTCAGTTGATACAGAGGAGCAAATGGTTCAACTCGCGAATAATATTAAGAATATTCATGCGAAGGGTGGATTCGAGATGATAAACTGGCTGTCAAACTCCAAGCGCGTCGTATGCTCTCTGAATGACGTTTATGAAGCACCGCCTAAGTACCTTGGCACACACGATGAACTGCAGGAGAAAGTGTTAGGAATGTGGTGGCTGCCCGAGTCGGATATGCTAACGTTTGTCATCAAGTCTGAATTGCTGCAGAGGTCGTCAGCTGGCTCTCATACGAAGCGACGAGTGTTGAGTATCGTTATGTCCATTTTCGATCCACTCGGGCTTCTTGGATTTTTCAACGTGCGTACCAAAATTATTCTACAAAATATTTGGAGGTCTGGTGTAAGCTGGGACGACGCAATCAAGGAACCGGATTAGATTGACTGGATGAAATGGCAAGCCTTACTGCCAAAACTGAGCGATCTGCGTATCCCTCGCTACATGTCACGCTCGAGTAATGTTAGGAGCCTGCAACTACATGTGTTCGTTGATGCTAGTTTGGATGCCTACGCTGCGGTAGCATATTTGCGAGTTGATCTTGGAGACGAAATCCGATGCTCCTTGCTAGCATCGAAAACCAGAGTAGCACCTTTAAAACCTATATCGGTACCACGAATGGAATTAATGGCAGCGGTTTTGGGATTGCGCCTGGCCAAGTGTTTGGAGTCTGAGCTATCAAACGAAATTGAAAAACGTGTGTTCTGGACCGATGCTCAAGATGTTCTGTTCTGGATAAGATCCGACGCTCGTAGGTACCCGCAATTTGTAGCTTTACGAGTTGGAGAAAGACTCCGAAGTTGGTGAATGGCGCTGGGTATCCTCGGAACTAAATGTGGCGGACGATGGGACTAAATGGACAAAAGGTGTTGAGGTAAATAGTTCAATACGATGGTTCTCCGGACCGAATTATCTTTTGCAGGATGAGTCGAAGTGGCCACTCAAAAATGAAATGTCTAAACCAGAGAATCTCAAGTATTGCACCACAAGGAGGAAATTAAGAAACAAATCTCGCCTTTAGCATGTGTTATGCCGGATCCACTACGTTTCAGCAAACCGGGATACCGGGCCTGCGAGCCCTTGTAAAGGAAATCATCAATAACTGTCCAGTGCGCTGCATCAGGCGAGCGCAACCCATTCCACCGATGATGGGAACTTTACCAAAGGAACGTCTATCGCCACATACACTGCCATTTACGTTTACCGGAGTAGACTACTTTGGAGCGATTGAAGTTGCTGTAGGAAGGCGTCGCGAGAAGAGATGGGGAGTTTTATTTACTTGTCTAACAGTTCGCGCTGTTCATTTAGAATTGGTGCCATCTCTTTCAACGGATTCATTTTTACTGGCTCTAAAACTATTTACTGCGCGCAGAGGTGTACCTCTTAAGTTACTATCCGATAACGGAACGAATTTTCGGGGAGCCAGCAGAGTACTCGCGCAAGAGATCGAACGTATATCAACGTCAGCAGTGGAAAACAAGTATCCGGAGATGTCGTTTACCTTTATTCCTCCGGGATCGCCTCATATGGGCGGCAGCTGGGAGCGTATGGTGCGTTCTACAAAGTCAATCCTGACGGAAGTTATGTCGAAAGTCGGACTGCGAGAGGAAGTATTGCGCGCTGCGTTGGCCGATGTCGAATGCACTTTAAACTCAAGACCGTTGAATTATAGTCCGTTGGAATCGGAAAATTCGGAAGCCCTTACACCAAACCACTTCTTGGTTGGTAACTCCAGCGGTCTACGGGAACGCGGTGCGATGGAATCCAACGGACTAGGCTTGGCCAAACATTTCCGCATCGCTGGACAACTAGCAGACCGTTTCTGGAGAAGATGGATTCGAGAGTATCTACCCACCCTGACGAGGCGCACAAAATGGTTTCAGCCGAACCCAGCTCCAATTTCCGTGAATGACGTGGTTTTTGTTGTTGATGAAACAAGCAAGCGAAACTCCTGGCCTAAAGGGATCGTCGTGGATGTTCATCTGGCGAAGGATGGACAAGTTCGTAGCGGTGTTGTGCGTACACCGGGAGGACTCGTTACTCGCCCGGCAGTTAAACTGGCTAAATTGGACATCATAAGGATTGGTGATACTCAGCGTAGTAACGCAGAAGAATCACGAGGTGGGGAATGTTGCGACGCTAATAAGAAGGTTTAGCCGCACGCTAACTGTCCAATTTCAAAAGTCGATTTATTTGAATTTAAAGTCTGTTAGTTTAAAAATACTGTTAAGTTGTTCAACACTGCTAGCCAGTGTCATCTCTATATTATTAGTATTGGAAAACTAAGGAATGTAAGAAGAAGAAGAAAATGATGCTATGAGAAGTTAAAGAGCGGCAAACCACAAGTGTAAGGAAAAATGTTAATAATTTGATTAATTGTGAACTCATTTGAATTTTAATAAAGATTTCAGCTATCTGTATGCTGTGAACCAGAGCTTGAAATAAGTGGAAACCCTCTGGGACCGTGGGTGTCCCAACAATATCCTTGGCTCATCTGAGAACCGCGCTGAAACCAGACCCGACGACAAGCGTTAGCCACGTATTTGCCTATTCCTGCCTATTTCCTATTGATAGTACTAGGTTTAAATGAAAACTGTAAGCAAAATATAAACGTAGGATAGAGCATTATAGTTGTCGTTGTTAAAAATAAAGGTAAGAAAACAAAATAAAATTCAAATTTTTAACCAAAATCGCCACAATCTTAAGAGCACGAAATTAAAATAATAAAGTCTAAATGAAAAATATACGCAAAATATAAATAAAGTAAAAATAAAGGTAAGACAACAAAATAAAACTCAACTTATAAAACGAAAATAAAATGTATTAACAAAAATTATATAAAAAGCATTTCTAATGTCGCAAGCAACTTCCGCCTGCCAATTTTACATTCGTCTATTTCTACAACTTTGCTTACACCTCCAATAGGGCCTTAATCCTTAAAATCTGTATCCAAAGCTGCCATACAAACTTCGGGGCAGAAAAGAAAATCTGTCAGATATATTCAAAAACGCTGTTTCCAAGATGATCTACGTGACATCTGAAGTGCCTCAGGGCGTTATGACTTTCCATAGGGGTACGCCAACGTTCATTAGTTATCTCTTCAGAGTATAGTCAGTTAACGATTAAGGTGTTCTCCTGGGTACAAAACTTACATTTGACTCCTACATAACCTCTACTGTAAATAGGGCTATGAGTTTTCTCGAGTTTATAAAGCGTTGGCCTCAGGTTACGTTTTTACTCGAGTAGATTGCTATTGATTAATTTGTCTACTCTAGTAAATCGTAGAATTATGCTTTGTACTATTTTTAAGCATAATCTTAATAGAGGCGATATTAAATCCGTAGATTTGGTAAGTCGCCTTATCTTAAATGTTCCTGTTAGACTAACGCTACTACTATCCTATTAACTAACCACGATGTACATCCAATTTTAGTCAGCACGAGCACTTTCGAGTTCTTTCTAATAACTATAACATCCTATATCTTTAAACTTGTTTCTCAACTTTTATCCCTGTATTAAAAACTAAAATCTTAACTCATTTGCTTCAGTCTCAGTTGATCTATGTTTTGTGCTGTCTTCATTTGTTCTATGTACCTTCCCCGTGAACCGTTTTTGCCCGAAATTAAAAATAAACCCGCTCGTAACAAGCACGTGCTTGGTGTCGTTGGGCCACTTACCTGCAAGCAAAAGGTCGATATTTCTATCGCCTGTCGTCCAGGAGTCACTTCTTAGTAACTTCTGCGCGATAGAAAGACGATAGTACACATTTTACAAAAACAAAAAGGGTCGCGATCGCGAAAAAGTAACTTCTGAGACACTTCTGCGCGATAAAACGGCGATAGAACACATTTTACAAAAACCAAATATACATATAACGCGTAGAAGTCACTTCTAAGTCACTTCTGGACGATAGAAGGGCGATAGTACACATTTTACAAAAACAAAAAGGGTCGGGATCGCGAAGAAGTAACTTCGGAGACACTTTTGAGCGACAGAAAGACGATAGTACACATTTTACAAAAACAAAATTAATGGAAAAAAACAAGCCATAAAAAGAGGTCGCGGTAATTTTCCGTTACCCCTTTTTTTCTGAAAATTTTTTGGTCTTCCTTTTGACCTACGCTATTACTTTTGTCTGTGTACAGTGCGGTTTTGTATCAATTTTGTGCGTTTTAAAAATATTGCTGTAAGATAATTCTATGTTAATATCTTAAACAACAACCAATATTTAAAATTAGATTATAAGATAAACATATAAACAAGATAGATGATTAAGTATTTATTGTAAAACTATGTACAGTATATAAAATACTAAATTTATGTATGCGATCTGGCAACGCAGAACGTAAAAATGTGTGGCAATCTTGAAACGCGGAACTGTGCCAAGAACACACGCATGTGAAGAGCCAGGAAATAAAAATGATTTAAAACAACAAAGAACAACAAATAAACTGTCTAAATTACTATTACAATAATCAGAAGTGGCTTAGAACTTAAAAAAGCAGAGTGCCTACTAAATAAAATAAGAACATATATCTGATAATAAATAACTTTGATTTTAAACAAAATGGATGAAAGTGATTATGAAAAGTATACAATTGACGGCCTTAAGCGTATTTTAAAGACATATAATCAACCTTTAACTGGTAATAAACCAGAATTAATTCAACGTTTACGAAAAGTTCGAGAGCTGATGCAACTGTAAAATCATTAGCGCCACCAAGCCATAAGGACAACGAGAACATAGAGGAACAAAAAGAAGACGAAATGAAAGACAATGAAGAAGAAAGAAAAGTTCGAGGAGTTGACGCAACTGTAATATCATTAGCGCCACCAAGCTGTAAGGATGACGAGAACAAAGAGAAAGGAAAGGAGTGCGAGACGAAAGAAAATGAATTACAAGAAATCACTACAACGAAATGAAAGACAATGATAAGCAAGACAACGAAATGCAACAAGGTTATGAAATGCAAGACGAAGATGGATATATGAACAACGAAAGAAACGAGATCAACGAAGCAGCGAAAATAAATGTTAACGAGAAGAAAACTGAGAATAAAGTGGTACGAAATGGAAACGAAGGAAATAATCAAGAGAAATTTAAACAACTAATGGCCGAGACGACATACGAAAGTGAGAACAAAGAATATGTACAAGAAGTACATACGATGACTACATCTGCAACTAAGCCGAAAGTTAATAAAGGAATTTCATATGAACAAAATCTGACCAAAATTAAGCAGGACTACGAAGACATGAAATGGGATTTAATGATGCGAGAAGTGGAACTTTTAAAAAGGGAACTACGAATTTCAACGAAGGAAAACGAAATATTAAATATGACCAAAAACGAAAAACCAGCCGATACACTAATCAACAAAAATATCCCGTTTACTCATCTTAAGGATTTAGTGTCAGAATTTGACCCTATGGATGGTGATACCGACATTCACCTATTTAAAAAGCAAATTATATCTGTGCAAAATATTTATCAACTTGATGATCACAGTGTACGTGCATTAATTTCCAATCGTTTAAAAGGAAAAGCTTCCAAATGGCTACAGAGCTGCTCAGAGTCGATGACAATGCCAGTAAATGAATTGCTTTATGAAATGGAAAACATTTTTGATAATCGTGAGTCTCAACTTGTAATGAAACGTAAGTTTGAAAAGAAAATTTGGCAAAGTGATGAATCATTTCAAGAATATTTCTACGAAAAACTTATATTATCAAATAAAATAAATATAAGTCAAGAAGAACTACTGGGTTATGCGCTACGCAACCAGGCAAAAATGCAACGATTTTTAAATACAGCTGAGTTATTGGATGCTTTTAAGAAAATTCAATTGAAGCAGATTTTTGTCAACAACAACAACAAAGTTACGCTCCAGGCAGATACCAATAAATCTGCAATTGTAATTAAGTGCTATAATTGCAATTCAAAGGGACACATGGCCAATGAATGTCGCAAAAGCAAGAGGGAACCTGGATCCTGTTTCGTCTGCGCTGAGATGGGGCACACTTCAATCAACTGTCCGAAACGCAAGAATATCAACCCACTGGAGAGCACAAACAATTCAAATTCATTTGTAAGAAAAATAGAGTATTTATTTACTAAACAAATTAACAATCTTATCCTCTCGTTAGAAACCCTAATCGACACCGGAAGTCCCATTTCTCTTATACGTGAAGAACATGTACCAACCGAATTCATCGAGTGTTATAGTTTTCTTAAAAACTACTATGGGATAAATAAAAGTAAACTGATTATCATTGGAATAGTTAAATGTAAAATCATATTTGAAAACCAAGAATTTAATAAAGATTTTTTTGTTGTACCTAATGAAACAATGGAATATCCTGCAATATTGGGAACCGACTTTTTAGAAAAGGAAAGATTTGTGTTAATAAAAGAAAGTAAATTAAGATTAGAAAGCAAAGTAAGTAAAGACGAAAGTAAAAAATATATGGAAGAAAAATTACCCAACAAAAAAAATGTAAGTGAGTACAACGAGTTGTACTTGAACCAAAATGAAGAAAATTTGTCCGAAATAGAACGTGAATGTCGAAACCTAATGGGAATTGATTTAGATAAAGAGGAAAATACATTAATTATTAACAATACTAATATACATTTAAAATATCATTTTAAGTTACAACAAATCTTTAAGCAATATTATTTAAATACTGAAATCCCTAAGAAGCCGGAAACTAAATGCTATTTAAAATTGATTCTTAATAATGAAAAGCCTTTCCATTATAAACCCCGCCGATTATCGTACGCAGAAAAAGAAAAAGTCCAAGAAATATTAGATGAGTTAATAAAGAACGAAATAATTAGGCCAAGTCAGTCAGAGTTTGCTTCTCCAATTGTATTGGTTAGAAAAAAGACAGGTAATATTAGACTATGTGTTGACTACAGAACATTAAATAAAAATACTCCCAAAGATAATTATCCTTTACCGTTGATCGAGGATCTGATAGATACTCTTACAAACAAAGAAATATTTACACTGCTAGATCTAAAAAGTGCTTTTCATCAAATTGAAGTTCACGAGGATTCTGTAAAGTATACGTCGTTCGTAACGCCCATGGGTCAATAGATGCAAAAGAAGTTCACAGCTTTTTAGGACTCTGTTCCTATTTTAGAAAGTTTATAAAAGAATTCTCCATTAAAGCAAATCCACTTTATAATATCATTAAAAAGGATGCAAAGTTCGAGTTTGGTGAAGATAAAATTCAGTGTTTCGAAAACCTGAAGAACATGTTAATAAATGCTCCAATCCTTTCCATATACGATCCAAAACATGAAACAGAACTACATTGCGACGCCAGTTCAATTGGGTTTGGAGCAATATTAATGCAAAGAAAAGAGGACAATAAAATGCATCCAATATTTTTCTTCTCAAAACAAACGACAGATTACGAATCAAAATATCATAGCTTTGAGCTCGAAACGCTTGCTATAATATATGATTTAAGAAGGTTCAAAATATACTTACAGGGAAAGAAATTCAAAATAATTACAGATTGTAATTCATTGTCTTTAACATTAAATAAAAGAGAAATAAACCCAAGAATAGCTAGATGGGCGCTCGAATTAGAAAACTTCGACTACGATATTGAACACCGTGATGGTACCAAAATGCAGCATGTCGATGCATTGAGTAGAATTTCGAATATATTGGTATTAGAAGAAAACACATTAGAACAAAACCTTTCAATTTGCCAAAACAAAGACAGTGCTATCCATGAAATACGCCAAAGATTAGAGAAAGAAGAAAGTAATGCGTTTGAAATGAGAAATGGTCTTGTTTGTCGAAAATTTAAAGGTAATATTTTATTTTATGTGCCAGCAAACATGGAAAGAAATATTTTAACGCTATATCATGACAACATGGGGCACAGAGGTTATGAGAAAGTATACAATGCTATAATAAGATCTTATTGGTTTCCTAAATTATCTGATAAAATTAAACAACACATACATAACTGTTTAAAATGTATAACATTTTCATCTAAATGCGGGAAACGCGAAGGTTTATTACACAATATACCAAAGGGTGACAAACCATTTGACATAGTACATATAGATCATTTCGGCCCCGTAAAAATTAAAAACGGACAAAACAAACATGTTTTACTAGCGGTTGATGGATTTTCAAAATTTGTAAAACTTTATGGAACTAAATCAACTGATTCTAAAAGTGCAACAAAATGTTTATCAAATTTCTTTACTTCTTATAGTCGTCCTAAGGTTATAGTTTCAGATCGGGGAACCGCATTCACTTCAAAAGACTTTGAAGAATTTCTGAAAACCCATAATATAAAGCATATAAAAGTAGCCACCGGTTCACCCCAAGCAAATGGGCAAGTGGAACGCATAAATAGTTGTCTCGGACCAATGTTAGCCAAATTATCGAGTGCAGGAACAGAGAAAACTTTAAACAATGTACTACCAGAAATAGAGTTTGCTTTAAACAACACGTCACATAAAAGTACTGGAACAACAGCAAGCGAGTTACTATTTGGTGTAAGTCAAAGAGGAGTATAATCGACTTCTTAAAAGAAGAGTTGGACGAATGGAATCAAGAAAGAAATCTTATTGAAATAAGAAACAATGCAAGCAATAAAATAATAAATAGTCAAAAATACAATGAACATATTAAAAATAAGGGTAGAATTATTAAAAAATTTAAAAAAGGTGACTACGTTGTTTTGAAAAATTTTGTTAGTGTACCAGGGGCATGCAAGAAAGTAATACCGAAATATAAAGGTCCGTACAAAGTGGATGAGGCTTTAGAAAATGATAGATATGCAGTATCAGATGTCGAAGGATTTCAATTATCACAAATACCTTATAAAGGAATATGGGAAGCGGCGAATATGAAGTTATGGATAGAAAGTGAAACGAAAGATTTAGAAGAAGAAAGCGAAACGACAGATTTAGACGATGAAATTGAAAAGCAAGACTTAGACGATGAAATTGAAAAGCAAGACTTAGACGATGAAATTGAAAAGCAAGACTTAGACTATGAAATTGAAAAGCAAGACTTAGACTATGAAATTGAAAAGCAAGACTTAGACGATGAAATTGAAAAGCAAGACTTAGACTATGAAATTGAAAAGCAAGACTTAGACGATGAAATTGAAAAACAAGACTTAGACGATGATATGAAAAGAAAGGAAAGGAAGTTGAAATGCAAAACCAAATTAAAGAAAAAAGATACAATGAAACGAGGTCAGAGGTTGAAAACAATAATAAATATTGCAGAAATGTTGAAAATAACAGGACACAAAAGAATTATCCAAGATACAATTTAAGAAAACGAAAAATTTAGATAGAGATATAATCGGGTCGATTAAATGTCAGGATGGCCGAACTGTAAGATAATTCTATGTTAATATCTTAAACAACAACCAATATTTAAAATTAGATTATAAGATAAACATATAAACAAGATAGATGATTAAGTATTTATTGTAAAACTATGTACAGTATATAAAATACTAAATTTATGTATGCGATCTGGCAACGCAGAACGTAAAAATGTGTGGCAATCTTGAAACGCGAATGAGATAAAACACTTTTTCGTCGGAACTGTGCCAAGAACACACGCATGTGAAGAGCCAGGAAATAAAAATGATTTAAAACAACAAAGAACAACAAATAAACTGTCTAAATTACTTTTACATTGCTTTGTTTTTTTCTAAATGTTATTAATTGCTTAACATATTTAAATATCCCCCTTACCAAAGGGTTCGAAATTAAGTGCTTATCGTGAGCTGTATGATTATTTAAAGCTATTTACGGACAAGCTAGCTGTGGACATTACTTGGCGTGTAACTGCGGATCCAACTATTCTCAACATATTTCATTGTAAAAGGTAATGTCTTCTAGTTTATTTTTACTTTGACTGAACAAAAAAAAAATTTTGTTTCTGTTTCCTTTAGAAATGGTTATTAATAAATTTCTTATGTCGACGGAGCTGGACCTAAATAACATTGTTCCGTGTATAAATTAATCTGGTTGATGGGCGTGGCCTGAGGTGGTCCTCGATGGCGGCACTCTCAAGGGTGGTCTTCTTCGATGAGCTCACACGTATGTGCGGGAGAAACAATATGTTATATGTGTGTGTGGCCAAGGGTGGTCCTCTTCAGCCACACTGGTGAAACGCTGGTCTTCTCGGAGATGCCCGCTTGTTGGCGCGGAGGAAGCGGTCGCTTCTGGGAGCGCCCGTTATAGCTGAGTGGCGGCCAGTAGCTTGTGGTTGCCTCCCGTAGGTGCGGGGGGATGCGTTAGCACCCACGCGTGAGGATGAGCCGCTGGAGGCTGCTGCTTGTAATAGCCTCCCGTGAACGCGGGAGGAATATAGTTGCTGCTGGTCGCACCTGCTGAAGCCCGCTCGGTAGTGCGGGGGAGGAGGGGGCCTTGACTTGGTTCTCATATGTGGAGATCGGAGATCGCTCGCTGGAGTCAGAGCCGGATGGCTGTACCTTCACAATTGCTGATTAGGATGACTTACGTTGGGAGGTAACTGCCCCCTTCGCCTGCTGGCCTAGAGACTCAGTCAGTGCAAAATAATAAGATATATTTAACGGCGGTTGCCGGAGTTTTGCAATGCTATAGAACTTGTGTTCTTTATTCGTATAGAGCTTGAAGCGAACTAAACTTAAAGTTGACAAAAATGAAATTCATAGCGGCCACGCAAATATGCTGTGTTTGCCGGCTATGCACGAGCATCCGGCCAAATGCCGCGTCAGCGGTTTTGGCCGCAGCTGGGCTTCGGACATTCGGTCATCGCCTCCGTCCGGTTAGCTACTTAGTTAACTACTCCCCCCTCAAGATTGAGGCCGCCCTCGGCCGACCCTATTTCAGCGATCACCCTTCTTAGTTTTACCGCAGATCTTCTGGCACCGGTGAGTCGCATGTAGGTTAGGCCGACACAAATCAATGCGCAACATATTACTCCTGTAATTAGCGCTACCATGTGTGTCTGATTGGTGTTGATTTTATTTCCGAACTTCTGAATGTATTCCAGGTTACGTTCACTCAAGCGGTGAAGGCAGGGGAGGCTCAGAGTATTTTGACTGATGGTGATGTTCAGTGAGGGTGAGCTTGCCACGGAGTCTTCTGGCGGAGTTTGGTTCAAACCAGGGTTTGTTTACTGTGACCGCTCACTAAAGGTGACGAGTTGCGTCCCGTGTATCCAGACGCTTGTTCCGTTGTCTACTCGTACCTGCGCTGATTGATCATTGATGATCATAATTCCCTCATCGACATAAGTGATCGGATGTAAATCGCTTGTTTGGGTCTCGCAGTGCGCAGCTCCACTGCATGGAGTTCTCGGGCGCATGTGGTCTTCGCTGATAGTCGGCATAAAGTGACTCCTGGTGTTGTGGAGCAATTCTGGATCGCATACATTTCCCCATTGCAT